CACCCACGCCCCGCAGGGAGCCCCAGCCCGGCCTCCGTGCCCTGCGCTCACCGTAGCTGTGGCCATTCACGGAGCACTTGCTGAAGACCATGATGTTCTGCGTGAGAGTGCCGGTTTTGTCGGAGAAGATGTACTCCACCTGCCCCAGCTCCTCGTTGAGGGTGGTGGTCCGGGCCTCAGCGGGCGTCCGGCGCTTGGCACAGTACATCTTCTTGTCCCAGTTGATGAAGTAGCTGTGCCCGAGACGGATCACCTCCACGCTGCAGGGGGGAACAGCCAGGGGTCACCAGGGCAGGGCAGGGACTTTCCGGACTGGAAGTTGCGCTGAAGTTGTTGTGTTTGAGCTGTGTTTGAGCTCTGGGGCTTTGGGTGACGTGGGTGCTTCACGATGGTGTGCGCCCTTCCCCGCAGCTGGAACGGACCCGCTCCTACCGACAGCCACCGCCAAGCCAGGGCTGGGAACGTGGGGCCTTGGCACCAAGGGGGGCAGCCCGCGGGGCTCCCCGGGCATCTCGCACACCTACGCGCCCCGAAACCCCCTCCCCAGCCCCCAGGGCAGACAGCAATGAGCTAGTGGGAGGGGTGGGGGTGACACGTTCTTACCTCGGGGCTAAGGGTGACAGAACCCATGCTGGGGAACGAAAAGAGAGAGAAATTAAAAGAGAGAGAGAAGGGGACAGTGCAGGAGCCTGGGAGCTGCAGGAGGGCAGAGCAAAATAACCAGCATGCAGCCAGGGCAGGGAGAGACGAGCAGCCAGACAGACACAGCCGGGGGGGGAGGGCCCCGAGGGACCTGTGGGGTCTCAGGTCTCGGGGTATCCCCGAGGGCAGACGTGGCCCATCATCAGGAGAGCAGCCCGCGCCCACCCCACGCGCACAGCTCTGCCCGTGGGGCTCCATCCCCGTCTCCCCTCCCCAAAGGGCACCCCGAATTCCCAGCGCCCTCAAACACCCCCAGCCCAACCCCTCGGCCCCTGCCCTACCTCACGTAGAGCGAGATGGGCACCACAGTGTTGAGGATGATGATGTAGGACCAGAAGGAGAGGAAGCCGGAGAAGAAGGCACTGTGCACCCCCTCGTCCCAGGGCAGGTAGATCTGGAAGCAGATGCCCACCTCGTGCTCCCAGATGGCGTTGCCGATGGCCAGGATCACCCCCATGCACACCAGGAACCCGAAGATCTGGGGACAGGAAGGGGACATCAGAGCCCCAACTGGGCCAGAGCCGGGGCTCCCTGGGATCTGCCTCCCGCCTACCCAGAGCACCAGCGTGTTCATCAACCGGTCGATGCTCGTCCGCTTGAACTTGGTCCGGCCGCTGTTCTGCATCAGTTTTGTGTCGGGCCCTGGGGAGAGGGAAGGGCGTCAGCAAGGCCTCTCCCTTCCCCGCGGCGTGGCGGCCACGGGGGCTGTCCCAGCCCACCTGCAAAGATGACGAGGCCGAAGCACCACTCGGTGTTGCGCAGGACGCAGCCCCGCAGCAGCATGTTCTGGTTGCTCAGGGGGTACTTGCTCTCCTTCCAGTACAGCGTCCCGCCAAACTTGTCCAGCTTGTTGTTGGGGGGTTCACAGATCACTTCACCTGGGCGCAGGGGACGGCTCGGCTGTAACGTGCCTTCTCCGCCTCACCAGCTCCATCCCAGTGCTCCCAGCACCCCCCTTGCTTCGAGCCACAGGGCCACGACACCGCGCGGATGCTCCCGGTCTCTCCAGGATGGACCCCGGCGATGCAAAAAGGAAACCCAGGGGCCGCCCCGTCGCAGAGAAGCGGTCGCAGGCGCTCACCGTCAAACCGAGCCAGCTTGCTGGTGTCCCCCAGCTCCGAGGTGACGGGGATGGCCTGTCGCACCTTCATGTTGGTCTCCCTGCGGGCAAGGAGGCGCCACGCCCGGGGTTAGGCGGGGAGGGCCTTCGCAGACGCTCCCCGGCTTCAGGTCCCGGCAGCTCCTGCCCTGCCCGCAGCCCGTTCTCACTCCTACCTCCCGCCTTCCCCTGCCGCCCGAGGCACGCGGGGGTCACCTACCCGTCCAGCTCCGCCGTCTCGATGTAGCACAACCCATGGGGTTCGCTGCTGGAGAGGAGGAGGAGGTCAGCCTGCCGGGAGAGACACGGGAAGGGTTGTGCTCACACCGGGGCTCCCCTACGCTTTCCCCAGGGAAGCTCCTGGCCCTCGGATGCCGGGAGCCAGCGGGGTGTCCGGAGCCGCACGTCCTTAGCAGGGTGCTACCAGCACCCCGGCGTGGACACCATCGTGAAGCACCCACGTCACCCAAAGCCCCAGAGCTCAAACACAGCTCAAACACAACAACTTCAGCGCAACTTCCAGTCCGGAAAGTCCCTGCCCTGCCCTGGTGACCCCTGGCTGTTCCCCCCTGCAGCGTGGAGGTGATCCGTCTCGGGCACAGCTACTTCATCAACTGGGACAAGAAGATGTACCCCCACGCCAGGAGGTGATGGAGGAGCACAAAAGCAGAGCGGGCGCAGCACCGCGCCGTGCCGCTGTCCCTGGGCGCTGCCCAGCCGGGACCGTGCTCGTCTCGGGGCCACACTCACCGCCACGAACTGGTTGTTCTCCAACTTGATGATGTCTCCGACCCGGACGTTCATCCACTGCTCCTGCCGGAGGCTGCAGAGGGACAGCAGAGGGGAGTGAGGTGGGAGCTGGCAGCATCGCTTCTCGCCT